TTATTATTATTATTATTATTGTCGTCGTCGTCGCCGCCGCCGCCGCCGCCGCCGCCGCCATCATCATCATCATCATCATCATCATCATCATCATCATCATCATCATCATCATCATCATCATCATCATCATCATCACTCCCTCCCTCCACTGTTTGCCCCCCGCAACTCGCATCTCCCACACAGATGCGTAGTGAACAAACATCGTTTTTCCGATTTCACAAGAATTTATGTCGTAAAACATATTTTGGCTGCATAGTAAATCTTCATTTTTTCTTGCATTAACATTGGATGATGCATGTAGCAGTGGTTCCGTCTTTGAGGCAGGCAAAAAAATCGGCATTTAAATGCGGCGGCTCAAGAATTGGATCGTCTCATCCGAGATTGGAAGATAAAGCAGCCAGACTTGAGGTGATGGTCGAATAAAGACCAGAAACAGCTCCCCTAGTTTTCCCTTGCACCTAGCTGGTGCGTCTGTGATCACGACTGATCCAACTGGTCTCGGTGAATGTATTGTCTCTCCCCACGCCCGAAGGCATGCGGCAGCGAATTTCGGGCGCTTAACCAACGACAGAGGCTGAGTGCCGGGGGTCCAAGAGTTACCCATATGCCCTGACGAACTGTGTCGAGCCAGGTTTTGAGTTGACCTCTTCGACGCCTCCAATGCGGTAACGATGTCGGATCGAGGGCAGTAACACTGAGCTCGCGAGGTGATCGAGATGAAGCACATGTCCAAACCACTACAGTAATCTTTCTTGAATTGCCTGGCGACGTTGTCGCAGCAAGCGCGAAGTGTCTCATTTGAGACTAAGTCTCTGGTTGAGGAGCGACATCGGATAAAGCGTACTAGCACGGAACTCATGCGGTGGACGACGTAGTTGCTTTGTCCTCAACTGCACCAGACCCAGTAAACGACTCTAGATGTTACTTGCCGCGACTGTGAGTCTTTTGGTCACATCACCTGACGCCTTATGGTGGCCTCCGGTCATGTAAGGTCGGCCACTCCTACCCAACCTTGCACATACCACGAACGCGTAAATTCTCCTCTGTGTAGGCTTTCTCCCCCACACCAGAACTTATTTTTTGTTTGCTGATTGACCGTTCATCAGTATGTTTCAGTGGACGAGACGGCCGAAGTGACACACCTAAGGTTCGCATGTTTGTCTCGATTGCTCGACGCCACCCTTCCCTCGTCACTTATCCGTTCATAACGCCGCCAACATCTCCCTCCGGCTTGCAAATGCCAGTACGAGATTACCTTGCAGGGCGTTTTCCTCTCATTGAATTCTAGGATCGACTGTCGTAGTGTTGGGAGAAGGGATGATTGACCGTTGCCCAATCTGTTTTAGTGGACGAGGCGGCCGAAGTGGCACACGAGGAGGTCATGGGGAATGCAGGTCAGTGCTGTGTCGCCGCCACTCGCACCTACGTCGAGGCCTCCATTTATGACGATTTCGTGGAGCGGCTCAAGGTGCTCGCCGAAAAACGCACTGTTGGCGACCCCTTTGAGACAAAGGCGGTTCAGGGTCCTCAGGCAAGTTCCCTCCTAGTTGACATGTTCTGCCTACGACCGCGAGCATGCTTGTTATAGCTGGTCTATTTGATGTCCCTCGTGCACGATTATTCTCCGTGCGCAAGGATTTATGGGGACAGATTCCGTAATGTCACTCTTAGGTCTGCGTCAATGGCAACAACCAAGTGAGAGTTTGAGAACCAACTTGACATGTAGATATTTATTGAGTTAAGTCAAGCTACCTAAACAAAATAAGTAGCTAAAATATAGCAATAAATAACCCATGTTGTGCACCACGAGATCCGAGATGTCTCGGTGGTTACATGGTGAATGTGATGGCTGCACCTCGGGGGAGCAGACAGAATACGAAATAGTTGCAAAAAGTTTCGTCCTATATTGTGAGCTGCCGCCATAGTATAGTACCTTCCCTAGATGCGTACCGCAGGAAGCTGCCCTTCCGTATTTGTAGGCCGCAACGACAAACAGCAATGCATCCAGGGGTTTTGGTCTGCAAAAAGTCAATTATTTTTCATAGGAAACATTCAATTGTTCAAATTGTGAAAACCTCAAACGCTTCAGTGAGGTTCGACCGAACAAATTATTCAAATCTGCTACCCCCTCACTAGCAGTTAAGTATAAATTAGAGTTGCGAAAATTCCAATTGTAAAATTCAAAAGGCAATTTGGCGAGCATACGTCTGCTTTCGATAAATTCTCTTCAGGCCTGTACATTTATATGGCTATTTAAGTAATGAATTAAAAGATACGGGTTAGTAGATAATTAAGCTGTACCTCGGGTTTGGAGAGGGGAGGGGGAGAGTGAAACCACAATTCCAGTCAGCGACAGGGTGAAGGTTGGCCCCGGGGAAGGTAATTATATGCGGGTGGTTGGCTTGGTGGTTCTGAACCATGGCAACTGTAGGACATGTATGAAGTTCTTCTGTGCACTTAGGACCAGTTAGCGTAGCCAAATTGCAGCCGCCTCTGCCGTAGCCAACAGGCGCTGCCCAAGTAGTTTTGGATAGCTTGACAGGACCTTGAAAATTAGTCTGAAGACCTCTCTGGCGTCTACACAATGGTCTGTGTCTACCATGTGCGCGAAGTTCGAGCTGTTGATATTCTTTATTTGACCCTTTCCTAACCATGCTGGATGATGTTCTTTTATTCTTTTGGATAAACGTCGGCTCGTGAGACCAATATATTCTGCCCCACAGGAGCATGTGAAGGAGTAAATACACATAGAGGTGGTCTGAACTGGTAGTTTGTCCTTGCCCTCTCCTTATAGGATGGGACTAGTGGAGAACAGTACACGGGTGTCAGCTGCTGGAAAGGTCTGTGATACAGCTTGAGTTAGGCGTCTTCTTAGAAGTTCACTTGGTGCATCCCCTTGAAAGGGGACCCCGATGAAGAGCCTTTTCTTTTCTGCCGTCAAAAGCCACCAAGTCAGCCACCCGCACGTAATTACCTTCCCCGGGGGCCCACCTTCTCCCTGGCGCTGACTGGAATTGTGGTGTTTCACTCTCCCCCTCCCCTCCCCTCTCAAAACGCGAGCTACAGCCTAATTATCTACTTGTCCGTATCTTTTAATTCATTACTTCAATAGCCATATAAATGTACAGGCCGGAAGAGAATTTATCGAAAGCAGACGTATGCTCGCCAAATTGTTTTTTGAAGTATAAGTTAATTTTTTTCTCGTTGGCCGTTATAGTAGGAGTGTTAACTCATGAAATGTTAACCGAAATTTTGAAAAGCGTTTTCGTTTCGAAAAAATTACATAAGTAGAGTTTTAAAATTAATCATCGCGCAACATAATTCTATAATAATTCAGTTACCTCGGGATGCTGCCTTTCGAACGAACATCTTTAAGGCCGCAAGCAAAAATCACACTGTAAAAATGACTATTTAAGTAACACGAATCTTTTTCATTGATTTTCGATGCCTCTAAAATTCAATTATATTTCATGGGAAACAGGCATAAAAATATCCACTCTTCTACTCATTCGGTAGAAAATTACGTCTTTTCCCAATTTTATACTCAGAGGAGGGGTATACTTCGATTTTCAAAACTTTGCTAATTCCCGAATAATTTTGAACCCGACCTGTCGTTACACTTGCATTTTGAGTTTCCGAACTAGAAACCATATATTTTCTGCGTGCGGAAAACCACACATTTCTCTACAGTATTAAGGGAAGATTATGTGGGGTTCATGAAATTTAGCACTGGATTCGAGCCTTATTGTAAACTTTACAAACAACATTAGTAAATGCAGAGACAAGATGTTTTGTGAACGGCCATTTTACAGTATTAAAAAATCTCATAATTGGAAACATTTTCAAAACCGAATTATACCCTTCCTTCGAGTACAATATTGGAAGAGGACGTACTTTTCTACCGAGTGAGTAGACGAATGAATATTTTTATGCATGCTTTCCACGAAGATGAGCCACAGTCCACCAACGCTGGTCCCAGTCATAGTCGGGCTATGACGCAGTAAGAAAGGACGTACTTGTACTTGATACGGCTGCGATCATGCCTGATCTAGCCGGCCTCAATGATGTCCCGAATTGTACCTCTCCACGCGTGACGATCCGCGGCAGCAGATCTAGACAGCTCAACCCATTCCCTTCGCCAACGACGGAGACCGAATACCGAAGGTCCAAGAACCACCTCCATGTCTTGACGGACAGTGTCGAGCCAGGTTTTGAACTGACCCCCTCTTCGGCAACGGTGCCGGATCGAGGGCAGTAACATTGAGCTCCTGAGGTGGACGACGAAGAACATGCCCGAACCACCTTATTCGTCTTTCTTGGATGGCCTGAGTTATCCTCGCGATGTTGTCGCAGCGAGCGCGGACTATCTCATTTGAGACGAAGTCGGTTAACTTCACTCGAAGGATGATCCTCAAGCAGTGGTGGTCAAATACCTCCAGTTTTCGCTCATCCGCCACGCGCAAAGCCCAGCATTCACAACCGTAGAGAAGGACAGACCGGACAGATGCACGTTACACGCGAATCTTATTGGCGATGGAGAGGTCACGTCGGTTCCACAGGCATTTCCGAAGGCTTGAAAAAACCCAGCGGGCAGCATCGATTCGGGAGACAATGTCGTCCTTACTCTGTCCATTAGGCAGCAGCCGCGCCCCGAGCTATTTAAAACTGTCCACTTCTTCAAGCTGACAGCCATCAATCCCCAGGGGTGCCTTCTCCTGGTCAGGGATGCAGCTTGAGAATACTTTGGTCTTACCAGCATTTATGGACAAACCGACTGATTTAGCGACCTCGTTCACTCGTGACGCCATAGACTGCAGATCACCAAAACTTGAAGCAAGTAAGGCGATATCATCGGCATAGTCGAGATCAGTCAGTCGATGTCCGGGTGCAAATTCAACACCGTCACTGTCGCGTAGGGCCCTCCCGAGGATCCAGTCAGTAGCGTAGTTGAACAGTATGGGTGACAGGATACAACCCTGTCGGACGCCAGATCGAATACCGAACGGTTGGGAAAAATTGTTACGGACCAGGACTCTCGCAGTAGTGGAACGATAGTAGGCCTTCATCATGGCGATGATTTTGGCCGGTACACTATCTAGCGCCATTATCCGCCACAGGGACTCACGGTGAACGGAATCGAACGCGGCGGCAAAGTCAACGAAGCAGACGGCCGTCGGTTGTTGGTAGCTATGGCGAAATTCGAGAATGCGCCTCAGTGTGAATATCTGATCTGCGCATCCACGTCCAGCACGAAATCCGGCTTGGTTGGGCCTCGTCCTCGAGTCACGCACAGCCTGGAATCGTCTGAGTAGGACAAGAGCGAAGATCTTCGCAGCAACGTCGATGAGACTTATGCCGCGGTAGTTCTCGCATCTCGTCTTATCTCCTTTCTTGAGGATAGGTACAAGGATGGCCTAGTCGCCGGGTCTTGTTGACCGACTTTATAGCTGTTCGTTGGAAGCAATGAAATTAGGGATTGAGGACGAGTAGAAGCGATCGAGTGGGTCGAGACGATAGGTGCTCTCCTATCCCTCCTCCTCTCCCTATCTTTCCTCCTCCGTCCCCGCCGAGAGTTCTAGTGTGGCGGCTTCGAATCCCAGCGAGTCCGCCGAATTTCTCACAATTGGGTCAGTTTAATTACTCAAGGCTGCCAAAAACACTCATTAGAAAGGATTATAAAAAGTTCATCTCCCAGAGCCAATTTACAGGCAATCATGCATTTTGGTGTGGTGCTTGTAAGCGGTAAATATTTAGGCACAAGCAAGTTACGAAGTTGATACCTACCAACCTCAGCGTGGATCTTTGAATGGCCTTAGGGTTCAAGAAGTTTTTTCGTAGATCTGTTGCCCGAAGGCAGTTCAATAGTCCATTTCCTCTTATTGAGAGGGCAAACCCTGTTTCCCGCAAGTTGCAAAAATTCACAGTAGATGTGCAAATTCATGAAATGTTAGCCAAAATTCTGATTTGTGTGTTCGATCCTAAAAGATAACTCGTGCAGCACAATCCCAAGGTAGGCGCAGGCTTTTGAACTAGCTTCTTTGCGATCGCCTCCAATAACTACACTCTGTCAAAAGTGACCACTTAATCGGAAGAAGAAGCGATCGCTGGAACAAGGGCTTTATTCACCTGACGTTTCGGATTCTCACTTGAATCCATCATCAGAGACAGTTGCAGAAAAGGGTCTGTAAGTGACTACTTAATTGGTAGGAATTTTCCCTACTTATTTTAGACGTCCTTATTATTTTGAGTATATTTTATAGTAAACATGCACATAAAAATAATTCCTCTATTCATTTGGAAGTAAATTACGTCTTCCTTAGATTTGATACTTGAGGGAAGAGCATAGTTTGGTCCCAAAAAAATTAAAATTCTCAAATAATTTCGAATCTGACCTGCCGTTACACTTGAATTCAGGGTTTCCAAACTACGGGCTGTATCTTTTCCGTGTAAGGAAAATAATACATTTCTATACACTATTAACAGGATATTATAGGGGTCCACAAAATACAGAGGCATGATGTTTACTCAATGGGCATTCCACGGCCTTAAAATTCTAACTATTATAAACTCTTATAAAACCGGAGGAAATTTAAAGAAGACGAAATTTGCCACAAAATGAGTAGGAGAACGAACATTTATAAGGACATCGAAAATCCCCGAGGAACGTTCATACTACTTAGGCAGTAATTTTTGCACGGACACGTACGTTGCTGTATGAAGTGACATTGCACGGTCTAAAGAAGTCTCATAATTAGGCCAAAAGGTATCCTTTCTTCGATCAGAAAATCAGAAAATAGCGTGATTTTCCTCCAAACAAGTAAAATGAAGCATATTTTGCGTATTTTTTTAATAAAATATGTTTGGATTTGTAATACCACTGAAAATAAATGCGAAAAATGCATGCTACTTAAGTAGTCATTTCTTTACCGACTGCGGTTTCTACAGGAGGTCGAAAAGAAGTGTATACAAAAGTCGAATCCTGTCGAGTTCGAAATATTATAGGATTATGCCTCGTGGCAATCAGTATTATAACCCTACCTAAGTAACCTTTCCTAATCGAAAACACATTTCAGAATTTCGGCCAACATTTCATGAGATCGGTCGCTCGCTGAAGGTAGAAGCCACGTAAGTACGCACTTCGGGGAAGGAGGGGGGAACGTGGCATCATTAACTACCAGACTCCTCTTTTATGCAGATTAACCAGGTCCAATTTGACAAAATAATGAAGTACATCGAGCTGGGAAAGTCTGAAGGTGCCCGACTCATCGCCGGGGGCCATCGTGTGGGCCAGAAGGGCTACTTCGTGGCGCCCACCGTATTTGCCGACGTTCGGGATGAAATGACCATCGCCAGGGAGGAGATCTTCGGTCCGGTCCAGGTGGTCATTCGTTTCGACTCCATGGAGGAGGTTATAACTCGGGCCAACGACACTTTCTACGGTCTGGGTGCCGGCGTCTTCACTAAGGATATGGATAAAGCAATGCGAATGTCAGAGGCCCTTCAAGCCGGTACTGTTTGGTAAGTCTTATCTTTTTTCTCATCCAATTTATTATTTCGACGCACCCTTTAACTTACAGTGCGTTACCTAACTCATGAAATGTGTCGAAATTTACGAATGATTGCCAATCACTCAAAAACCGACACCATTTCATGTGTCTAATGTCTATGTTAATTAAGTACAAGTTTAAAAGGATTAAAAAATGTAGTAAATATGAAAATGCACATGAAATAACGTTTAATGATAGTGTTTCAGTGAAGTTTACATCTAAATATCGTTTGAGAACTGGTGTAATTTCATACATGGCGGTTTGTCAACTGCCTACATTCTGAGTGTAGATTTCAAAACAGTTTTCCAGGTATTCGTGTTATCTTTGACACTTTTCAATTAAACAAGATGGGGTCCAATAAGAGAAACTGGATTTTGCTTGATTTCACCGATGGGGACGTCGTAGGAACAAAAGTTTTATAGGTTGACATGCCATGAGGCCAGTCGATGCCTAATAAATGTAAATAAAGCTGACAGGCGTGATCGTAAACATACCATTTTGTGTTTATAGTGAGAATGTTTCTTCCGTTTAATTAATTTACACTTCTCGTTCGTTTTGGATTACGTTGAGTTTCAGATTGACCTCGAAATATTGCTGAATACTTCACGATTTTCAGTGTTTTCACCCAATTATCCATAAAGACAGATTCTGAATTACCTGTCTGTTGAGAACTTTAAAATAGGATCGTTCTTAAAAGCATTTACCGAATTAGTAAGTGCTCAGGCGCTCCTTTTCACGAAGATGGTCGTTTGGGTCACATTTGAAGACTCATTCAAACATCAAACTTCATTTTCGAGAAAAATGGCTGTCCACAACGAAAGTCACCAACGAATATGCCTTGGATCAATAAGAAAACTGTCCTTAATAAGTCACCTCTTTAAGAAATGCTTTATTACTGCACTCCGTTGACGGATCTCTGTGTACTTTGCCTTTTTGCAGAGTGATGCCAAGTAAAAATTTTACACTTTTGGCCGTTTCTCTCACGTTCCTAAAAATAGTTTTTTTTGTATCGTAAACATAAGAACATGCCTTTCTCGATACATTAGGGCCACTTCCACTGCTTTTGCTCGTTTTTAGATCCCGTTCTTCGATTATGAATGCACGGCAGAGCGCCTATATAAATACTGATATTTTACTGAAACTATTAATGTTTTGCTCGTTCTATTTCTGAATAAAGTATGCGCGGAAGCTAAAATACTAGAAAAGTAGTGTGTCATTTGTTTAAAGCAGGAAATGACCATTTCGTGGTGGTCATCTGTGACATCAGGTAGAATGTTCCAAGCGGCAAAACACTTTCAGCCGATTTAAACGAAGGAATCCCTATCTGCGTTATTACTGCGTTTAGGGCACCAAATCGCATAGATCTGCTTATTTTACTTTTGGGAACTGATTAAGCCTCTGGTTTTCATAAAATAACCTTTGCGTCTGCAAGTTGATTACGACGGTTAACGTCGGACATAAAAGAAATTTTCAAGTCCGGCTAAATCTGTTTATTAAAACTCTCGCAGGTAAATTACCATCCTTTCAATGAAAAAGTCGCTCAGATGCATAACCGGAGTCAAGGACATGTATTAGCATAGGTAATTGCACGAGTATATTCCAACGTCCATTTTCGCTAAAACTTATTGGTGTTTTACTTGATATAATTACGTAAACACAATTTCTGCGCAAGAAAAAGACATTTCATTGAAGGAAGTCGATGAGCGAACAAAATGTGCAACGTTAAAGACGCCCAGAAATTCTCGCATCAGTTTCCGTTATCAGATTTCATGAGATAGGTCACGTACTGTATTATTATCCTGCTACTGCCAAATTAACAGGGTAAGGACGATATCGTCCCCGTATGTACGCCACCCGCGGGGTTTTCGCAATTCTTAAAAAGTGCGCACGAAACCGATGCGACACCACCACCACCACCGTCACAAGGACCCGTGTGTGCCGGACATCTACCCGGGTCCATCCTGTTATATTTTGCGAATGCTGGGCCGTACGCGTGAAAGATGGACGAAAAATGTTTTTTTTTGGCTCGATAACCATCTCTCGAGTGAAGTGCACTTACAGTAGGTGTGCTAACTCATGAAATGTTAACCGAAATTCTGAAATGCGTTTTCGACTCGAAAATATTGCCTAAGTAGGGTTGTGACATTATTCACTTTTCAGAATAATTCTGAGATATTTCAATTACTGCAAGATGCTGGCTTTTAAACTAACTTCTTTCTGGCCGCCTGCAAAACGTATACTCTGTAAAAATAACTACCTAGGTTGTCTGATTCCCTCATTCATCTTCGAATATATTTTATGGAAAACATGCATAAAATATTCATTCTCTCACTCGTTTGGTAGAACATTACATCTTCTTCAAATTTTTTTACGTAATGAAATGTTATAATTCGGTTTTAACGAAGTTTCCAACTATGAGATTTTTTAAAATCGTGAAATTTCCCGTCCGTAAAACATCGTGACGGAAAGTAAGTAGTTTGTAGATTGGAAACCCTTAGTGCAAGTGTAACGGCAGGTCGGGTTCAAAATTATTTGGGAATTGTAAACGTCTTTTAAAGCCGAGTTATAAACTTACTTCAAGTATAAAATTTAAAGAAGACGTAATTTTATACCAAATAAGTAAGAGAATGAATATTTTCTACGTATTTTATATAAACTATATTCGAATTTTTAACGCGACCGAAGATGAATGAGAGAAAATCACACTACTTAAGTGGCCATTGCTTACAGAGTATACGTTTTGCAGGCAGCCGGAAAGAAGTTCATTCAAAAGCTGGCATCTCGCAGTAATTAAAATATCCTAGGATTATGCTGCAAGCCTACTTGAGTAATCTTTTCGAGTCGAAAACGCACCTCAGAATTTCGAGTAACATTTTATGCACTGTACTCATTTCCGGATAAAGGCATTCTACGCCCGCTGCAACAACATCGTGAGGATATCTCAGGCCATCTAAGAAGGATGGCCGAGGTTATCATAGGCATTGTCCGACTAACGAGCTCAGCGTTGTGGGCCCCGATTTGGCGCCGTTGTTCACCTAGAGGTCAACTCGAAAACTGGCCAGACACAGTTGGCCAGGATACACAGATGTGGTACTTGAACCTGCCTCCAGCATCCGTTGCCGGGAAGAAAAATGAGCCGAGCGTGGAGGGCTACGATTCATGTCAACAAAGCCGACCAGGTCAAGAATGATCACAGCTACACCAAGTACAATTTTCCCCAGCGAAGTCCAAGTTTGTCCCTGCAAAGCTCTACGACATCTATCTGATTTTGAATTGCTTATGGTCGTATCGCTCTTAAAAACAGTAGTCCCAAATGGCTGTAATTCGTATATAAGTGCCTCTCTTTAGACTGATCCCATCATAGCAGTGTTTTGCACTGCACATCTGATTTTCAGCACAGCGTGGGTTAGTGTAGAGTAAGTTACTTTCCGAAAGCTCTGTTTTTGTTTGCATCGATTTGATTTGCCTAAACCGCCACTTTCAGTGT